AGAGAGAGAGAGAGAGGGGAGAGAGAGAGAGAGCGAGAGAGAGAGGGAGGGAGGGAGAGGGAGAGAGAAAGAGACTGGCCAACTGTATTATCTAAATATTGCAAGCTTTGCTTAGAAAGCATTCTCGATTTAAGTCTCTAATTTCGATTCCGAGAAAAGCCCTTAAGCAGTACATGATTTAATTTTTTTTTGGAATTTAAATAAAACATTCGTGATGTCGTTTCTGAGTGAGGTAATAATATTACCATTTCATGATCAAGCAAACTTTAGTCTCTGTGAATCATCACTGCTGCGTAAGAAACTTTCCTTCCAGTACTATCATGAACTCTGCTCATATAGATTCACCAGTTGCTACAACTATATTTTGTTTATATATAATTTTAGTTTAAAGCAATAAAGTCCGCCAAACCACATGATTTCAATGGAAAATAAAATCGACTATAGCTTTGAGCGCAGTATTTGATGAATTCACACATTCGCTTATACCTAGGTTAGAGCTTTTCTAGCCTGCTATGAGATGGGTGTTTTTTCGAATGAAGAGTCTGTTCGTCGCGTTGGTAATCTATCGTACGTTAAAGTGCTGACAAGACATCTACTACTTGAGTCAGTTGCTTTTTTGTTATCTCTTAACCGGCGGAGTCTGTGAATTGTTTTTATGTGGTTTTCTGGTTTGTATGAGTTGGGCTCTTTTGCCAGTGTCGCCTCTGGTCAATTAGTAAATGTATTGTACAACTGCGAAGGAACGACCGAAAGGGCTGAGATAAGGTCACAGCTATGTACTTACATCTTTAACGGCGATTTCCACTGCCTGAAGTAGGCCCGCTCGCGTTTCCTCAGATTCCATTACACCAGTCACACCCAGCCGGTCGCACTACGTTGGCTTGTTGGCTGGACGATATCCTGATTGCTGTTGGACCGAAACGCAGGACAACAATCCGAACGAAAACGGCAAAAATAGCAAACGTGCACACGTTGTTGGGTCACAGATTTTTTCTGAATCGAATGTATCTTGCAAACTCCCTGGTTTTTCTTGTGTATCCAAAAGGTGTCCGGTTAGACTTTCGAACTCGGTTATGCCTGAACTGGTTAACTGTGGCGTTGGTTCGACAATGGACGAAAGTCACAAATTCTATTCGACAGAAATTTCCGAAGGCTGGTCACTTAAACACTTTAACACGGGCCACTTCCTTCAGGTTTTCTTGATATATATGTGACTATACAATCGATTAAGTATGGTGTAAGGGGTTTCACAGTTGTTCACCCAACGACGCCTTTATACCCTGTACTAAAGGACATTCGGCACAGCAGTCAACCTCACACATGAGTCGGATATGAAGGCGAACAATTTATCAACACAAGACAACATGAGAACAGGTTGTTGTCATCGAGAATCGGTTTTGCATCAATACGCTATTTAGTGATATGCTGATTATAAACAAATTAAGATCATAACAAAATTTTCCCAGTCGACCCTGAATGGTACAGCATCGGTTTTCAGATACATATTTCAGTTGCAATGATCTAATCCGATCACTATCTTCGCGCACGCACATACACACACAGCGAAAAACGAAGGTGAGAAGAACTGCAGATGGAAGCGAGAAAATAAGACTTCCCCCCTATTAATATTATTAATTCTGGATCACCGCGTTTAGTAGAAGGACGATTTTCGCCGCCACTGTAATCCAAGACGATATCATACTGGTAGATTTGCGGCCCGCATCGCCTATTCCATGCCTCAATAACGATTGCAATTAACTCAGTTCCCTCAAAAATAACCAAATGCAACAACGGAACGCGTCAGCTTCGTAATGACAAGATTAAGGCCCCCACTGTCTAAGCTGCCCGCCTCGATCACGACGTGCTGTATTCAGTATGTGTCATCTTCCTTCAAAGGGCCAAAGTCTCGTCGAAAACTAACAGAGGCAGCAAAGAGTGAAATCGATCTCGAACATACTCAAACACTCCTGTCACACAATAATAACTAAGAGAAATACGCATGCACACTGCCAGAACTTTATTCCTTTGTTCGATGCAACATCACTTCTAGTCAGAGTAACTACGATACAACTGTGGCCCTTCTAACTTGTCCATCTCCGTGGTTATAGTAGTAAATTCGTTTTGTCGATTTTTTCTTTCTTGCAGCTTCGTTGCATGGGCGTTTGCTTCGCTAACGACAACAGGCCGAAGAAATGCACACGGACCCGAAAAAGTGGGGGGCAAACTGATTCTTTTTTATTTTACGAGATAAAAGTAGAGAAGATAAAGTAAAAGAAGGCTTCTTGGCTGGCAGGCTGGCTGACTGCTGCTGGTCAGTTGGTTACTATTGCTGCTCACGCAACTTGACTAATATCTACCTTTATGTCACTAATCTGTCGGAAGGCAAAACAAGGGGTGTACCTGTTCGTTGCCAGAGAGTGGCAAAGCCTTTGCAATAAGTAAATATCACTTCTTTCTACTGCAGCCAATACCGTGGCTACAACAGCAACGGACCAGGAGGCACGAGCAAAGGATTGCTGAGCTGTAAGAGAACCGACATACTACTGCCTGTCATCAGCTGGCAGAAAGAGGAGGCCACTGCCATCCGACCATCTGCTGATGCTGTTGCAACGGCTAAGACGGACGGGGTACACCCGAAGATACGGGCACATGTCTGGCCCTGTATGGCACACACAAAGGGTGGCATTATTGTTGCGCGGAATGCGATGCTATTAATGGACGGAAGTCGGAAAGGCTAGAAGCGGACGGATTGGGAGGGTACTGGCAGTGGTATTAATGCTAACACCTGGCAAAACGCTGATATAAAATGATTACTAGCTATTTATTACACTTACATTGCACTTCTGGTTAGATTTTGCCTCATTTGCAACCGGCTCATACCTGGCTAGATGTACAAATCATCAGCTGTCTTTTGACAAGTTTAGATCGTCACTGAAACAAACAGATCGAAGTAGAGTATGTTTGTGAGTGACGAATTAATTAAAATATATTTATAACAGAAGAAAGACAGAGAGCGAAATAAGATTTGTTTTTCTTTTAGGAAATTCGCTGGATTGTAAATTGTTGATTATTACGCTTCCAGTTGTTGCTAACTCAATAAGACCTTCGTGACAACGTGAACACCCACGTTAAAGTCGCGTTAAAAGAGAACGTAATCGTTTGTCTCTGTTTTTGTTGAAGTCAGATAACAATCACCGCAGTAGAGTAGAAGGTGAACAGGACGGTTCGGTAAATTTAACAATCAACTATGTCATGTGGCTCCTGGTAAAATAACTGGAGTCATCATAGGCGTATTTTACAGATAGAGAAAGGTTTAGTTAGAGGAATTTTTTAAAGTCGGCCTGTTTCCTTAGACCATTGGCAGTCCATGAGTTGTTCGCAAGCAAATCTTCGTTACTACGTAGCAACTGTGCTGAATTAACTGTGCATGATGTCATCAGAACCACTACGGTTCCACGATTTGCATGGGGAGAATCTAAAACTTCACAATGACGGCTTTATGGCGGTTTGCACGGACAGTTTTGAATACTCATTTTGCTTCTCGAATCGTCCCCTAATACCTGGTGATGTTATAGCGATTCGTGTAGCAGCAAAAATTGCTGAGTGGGCAGGATTTCGTCGGATAGGACCAACGGAACTCGATCCGACAAAGCTAAAGGATGCCGTACCGTTTCTAAGTTGAAGTAACATAAAAGACAAATCCGATTTTTCTCTGTACAGTATCCCCGAGAAGCATGTAACAGAGAATAACATACCTTACCTGTTCCATTCATCGAATGGGGATCTCATGCTGAAAGTGAATTTTGAGGAACCAATTTTTTTTATTTCGCGCATGAAGACCCTGAGTCCTTTGCTTGGCCTGTTCGGCGTGTACGGAAATACCATCGTAATAGAACTAGTTCATGAGGTTTGTTAAGTCCTACGTATCCCTTTCATCGTCGTTGTACAGGCATCAAACTTTTACGTGATGGAAAATACCGGATATACTAATTCGAAAAACCCTAGGGTGTGGAAAAAATCCACATTTGGTTGAGAACCGAAAAAAGAACAAAAATATTGAAACGATAAAATATGTAAATGAAATTTAGATTGCGTAGGGTTTGCGGCCTGGACTAAGGTGCGGCCTACATGCTATATAAAACCTAGAGTTTCCAATTTGGTTAGGGTTTCAGAGAGGTAGTCAAAACTACCTCGTATGTATTATATATATATACTTCTTGCTAGCATTTATATAAATATTGATAGATAACCACTGCAATGCAGAGAAGCGCTAATTGTGATACAGTAAATAAAATATTTAACGTATTTTTGTTTTAGCTGACGCGTGCTTTTTATAACTGGAGTAGCTACCCTCTATACCTGCTCTACCCGAGCATTCAAATTTAATTAAATGGAAACCTTATATAGGTTAACTGTCGCATACAGCATGGCGTGGCTGTATACGAGATGTTCGCCCTATTTATCCATTCGTCAAATTAGTTTATAGGGATTAAAAACATAATAAGAAACCAGGTCTTTTTAGTTATATCCGCTTTGCTTTCCTTGTGAACAAAAGTGATCGATTTTGTGTATAAATCAATCTGTATCAAGCTATTCTAAAGAGTTTTGATAGAAGGGTGAGCATAGACATTTTAATTTAACTATAGAGGAGTCATAGGCCGTTTCGCTTCAAGATAGTAATACGCCTATTGTGCGTGTCTACCAAAGTCTAATCTAACAATAAAGTTCAACCTAGGCGTTTAGTGCTCACAGCTAGGGTCTTACAATGATGTCCTAGAAATGTTCTTTTTATTAGACCTAATCAACAAAAACGTTTCACATCGGGATAGATCAGATGCATGCCAGTTCATTGCCATCGGGGGCTTCGAGTGTAAGGGCATTCTGCCCCCATTAAGAAGCGCTGCTAGTGCGATCAATGGCAGTTCGAAAATGAACACTCAAGATACACTGTACTCTATCACCATTACCATCACCGTCTATTAAAGTTCCCTCTCGTTGCTTCATCTTGGAATAAAAGCGGCTGGCGGCTTGTCGAGTTACAATGCCTGGCGGTTTATCCGTAATGGCAAGGCCTAATTTGGAAGTAGATTCCACTCATCAACAAAATACAGTCAAATGATAATGAATTGAGTAGTAATCGAGCGAATACTCAAAACATTAACTGGTGACACACATACGACGATAACCTTCGATGGTCGTTTGTACACTAATGGTACGGTACATGAAATCGAAGAGAATTAATACTGAAATTGTTATTTTTAGGTCTTTGAATCACTATCGTTGTAAGCGAGAAGCTTGTACCGGTCACCATATACGCGAAACACCCCTGTTATAACCTACCATATACGCTACTACTACTATTCACGCTTAGGTGGTCACTGCGATTCGCTCAGATTGATTCCGAATTAGATGATCGAATCAATCATTATGTTATTAGGTTACAGGAATGATTGCTCTATTTACCGCAAAACCTAATTTTCAATTTACTCCAAGGGTTGACCCAGAGACTGGTGATGGTTGCCCTCAATTACCACTTTTCTTATCTACATAATTTACAATATTGTATTACTTAAAAAACTAAAGGTCCCTAACGCTTAAGCCTTAAGAAAATAGAAAGATTGCGGTTTTATATCATTACCTCACTATTTTTTAGGTGAGGATCATTATTATTCCAGATCAACAGCTTATTATACTACCGCTAAAATGGTTAATATGCCTTCCCTCCTCTTTGAGTAAAAAAGAGGGGCGACGCCCATTACCTCATGCCTTGAACATGGCTGAATAGTTAGAGCGTACCTGCAACATATATTATTTGACTAACGACGTTTTGTATCCCCGGCAGTGTTGTGTTGACAGAATCACGCTAACAGAAATCCCTGGCCGCGACGGTCGTTGTTTTAGTTTTACGGCTAACCGCGAACTACTCAAAGCTAAGGCGAATCAAAAAATGCCATCCCTGTTTGTTTTCAGTATATGGAGTTTACTATATACAGGAACCCATAACTAATAAGTGTCAGTGACGAAATAAATTCGCTAAATTGTCTTGAAAATTTCATCAATTTAAGCTTACTTGAGAGAGGCTAAGATGATCATCATGGATAAGGCAGATCATGCTTATTATTGAGGACTAGCCTAGTATTATCACACTTGGCAATGGCTTCGTGTTTGGCATATCGTTCAAGGTCTGTAACTATAAGTGCTATCGGCAGAAAAAACCGGCCATCTTAAGTTTTTCCTATCAGCTAATGTACTCTTTTTCCCTTTAACACCACGTCAAATAGTGCTCTGTGGGCTGTATCTTTTTTGCCAGTAATCTGATCGTATTCTAAGCTTATCAGGCAGTTTATCGATTACACCTGCCGTATATGCCTGTAATATGAGGTAGTGCCTGCTGCCTTACGGAACTTTTACATTTCAGCAAATTTGAGCATTAAAGAGCGATAAAGGAGCATTTGCTTCTAAAAAGTTAACCGGACATATCAACATTGAAATATTTACCTCGGGCCGACTAGCAACTGATGCTTAATGACCATTAATTAAAAGGTACAACTCATAATTGACGCAAATAGTTTGAGTACTCCAAAGCTAAAGCTAGATAAGCTGAACACTCACGAACTCCTTCGAATGGGCAAAATACAACATTGAGTTCCTTGATACCGCCGACAAAACGTTGTCAGATCAAACTGAATGATAAAAAAAAATGCATTAATGCAATAAGTTTTTATTTTTGTATGAGTCACTATTCCATTCATTGAATCGATACCGTTGCCGATCACAAATGGAACGGTAGTGTTGGCTAGTTCGACGGCCGAATTACACACCGCGGGGCACTTTTTTGAAGAGTGATGACGACTTGCTTTTCTGTATTATCTATGTGGCATTTAGGTACGCATCAGCATGTATATAGATTGGTCGATTTACGGTGACCGTTTCCCATTTCTACTTCTAGATGTTAAGTGCGTTGGCCACCTTGTTTGCGATATCCTCAAACGCTCGGGCGCTTTTGGACCCTTTGCACGCATCCATGAAACTCGTGCCAGCATCGCAGTTAGCACCGATCTTCGGCTCGATAGGTACGCGACCTGAGAATAGAGCGTAAAGTATACTCAATAATTTCGCAACAATATGGAACCACTATAATTTGGTAAGATTCCACCCACTTAGATACTTCCAGTTTGGCTCGTTCTGTGTACAGCCACTTCCACTGAAAGTCCTTATACTCCTTTGGGGTACAAGATTTGAATGCGTAAATCATTTTCAAAATGTCGGTCATGCAATTTGAAAACATAAATTGATGTATAGAAAAATCCATTTCTTTTGGTTAATCACGTTCTAAATCATATCGCTTTCATTGATGCTATTAAAGTGCGATTAGATTATTTCCGCATGGGGCAAATACGTATTACAAAAAGTGGCTAAGGAACGTGCCAAGAAACGGAACTTTTGCGATCTCTGCGAGCTTCTCGCCCCCGCCCTGGCTGAATAGAAGACTGCATTCGGTACAGTGAGGGCATACGAAACCGCTCATATTTTCCACGACGCCTACCGTTCGCAGACCCGCCTGTGAACACATGTAACTTCATTATTGTAAATGCATAAAAATCAATAATCTTCGTTGGTCATGCGCCGTATCAGGTAACTTGAAAACTCCTAAAAAACAAAGCTTTAAATGAAAACAGACCTTCACAACAAATGCATAGCCAGTCCTTGGCAAAGGATGATATAGATGAACAAGCAAGATCATCGTTTGTTTAAATTATTTTTTTAAAAGGTTTTATCTATTATTATTATATTATTTAAATTGGTTAGAACGACGAGTACGCATATGTACACGCGAACGTTATATAACGTTGACATTTACAGCGAGTTAGTGGTGTTCTTCTATTTTATAGAGATATGATAGTTGGGCGAATGATTGCAGGCGACCACCCCAGTCCACGTTCGGGCTTGCCTACCTCACGATTCCCATTGTTAAAAAATCATTATTCAATCGTATTCTGCGGCTACTTCGTACCTGAGCGGAAAACGTCGCCTCTCGTCTCACGTCCGAAACAGCTACATTTTGTGGTGTCGTTACCAGTATAGCTCTGTAGTTGCCATATAATTAATCAAGAGAGTCAGCTTCTATTTAATATTATATATATATATATATATCCTATTCGTATATGAAGACCATAAATACCACTGAATTTTCATTATGCGTCAGACATGTTATGTATAGTTGGTGATGGCTATTTAAATTGTTGCGATTCGACTATTACTATTATTACCTTTATTAAAATATTCAAGATTAAAAGTTTTCATGGCGCAAACAAGACGTATGAATAAGCTTTGCCTCTACTTACCCAACTTGAAATTTTTTGGCTTGAAGTGCTTCAACAAGCGACATGTGTTCATCCGATGTTCCTGGAGGGGTATCTACCAATAGTATATCAAGCGCGCCCCATTCCACGTCTGATAAAAATTGACCAATCATTGCTGCAGTGTAACGACGACAAATAAAAACATCGTAAATCATTGGTAGAGCAGTACCCTCTCTAGATGTAGCCCTTATTATCAAAAAAGCAATGATTAATTAACTTCAATTTTATATACATTTCGGTCAAATGACTTAGCTACACTGTTCATACACTAGTGTACATGAAGATAGGTCAGTTCAGAATAAATGTACAATTTGATTAGAAAAGAGTATGTTGCGACCTGTCCCCTTCTTGAACAGGAACGCCTCAACGGTGGGTATAGGACCTTAGGCTATAGGCCTAAGTCAACTTAGTTCATGCTCTAATTAAACTAAAACAATCCTTCATTCTTATAGCAGTACTGCTTACCATGTTTTTTCGGTCCACGCCAAACGACTGCATCGTCTTCATTTTTTAGGAGAAATCCAATAGACATTACCTTAATGTTTCGAGTTTCAACTGGTAACCAGCCCTTTTCTCCATACATCACCTGTCAATGTATAATACAGGGATAAGCTTTGCCCATGACCTATCCTTTGTACTAGTACACTACGAAAATTCACCTAAATATTCAAATTTCGGAGAGACGAAGAATTTTTGGTGCGTCAGAATATCTATTATTCTTTACAAATAGTAAATTCATGATAAAGCTTGATTATCATATTCTTATTATAATATTAGCTTTTATGTGTCATACATTTTATTAAAGAGAACAAAAAAAAATCAGCAAATTCTGTTGAACACGTAAGCTATATGGATTGTCAATGTGATTCAAGATAACGATAAGAATACTAGACATAATGCGTTTTGCAAACCTCGGCGCCTTTCACTCCAAGCATCCGCGGTACTGAAGGACCACAAAGGTCGACGTCGAGAACGCCAACCTGTTTTCCAGTACGTGCTAGACTTAAGGCCAATTGAACGCATGTGGTGCTCTTTCCAACACCACCCTAAAGCAAGATCAAAGATTAGTTCGGCTCAAAGAGTATCTTGATTATTCCGCTTTTTTTTTGTCTTGTAGAGAGCGTATACTCATAATCATCCCGAGTCGCGAGGTTGAAATCAGTTTGCATTGGCCTTTTTAGCCAGCGATTTAGCTGTCCATTACGCATGATATTGACTAAGGCAAACTTCTAAAGAACTTATTCGCTCAAGTTACTTCGAGTTTTGAGAGGTTTCCTTGGCCTCCAAAAATCTATTTTAGTTTTTCATGACTTTAACTATTCATTTTTAAACTACTTTTGACTAATATTAACTACTATCTATAAGTATTCTACGAACGAATATTCACAAATATCCTTACAAACCGAACGGTACAAAGCTACCATACAACGTACTTTTCAAATCATCATTGCCACAATTGATACACACCTTTCCTGATAGAACAAGCACAACTGACCGTATTTTCGAGCACCCTCCTAACGATTCCACTAAATCTGTACTTACAAAAAAAAACGCACAAAAGAAGCAAAATTAGCCCTATCGAACACTTGATAATACCGCAATGAACATAGGCTAGTTAATAAAGCTCAACTGTGAAACAGTATTTTTTTATTTTTGTACAAGGTCAGTGAGATAAGATTACTCAGAAAAACAAAAGTACATTAATCAAACACTCCGATTTGCCTGACTAGTTTCTTTTTTCGTCTAAATAGTCAACATTCTGAATAATACCCGGGTAATGGGATTCAGTTTTTTCTTTAATGCCTAGTTGTCGAAATATAGGTTGTCTCAGTTTGCTAAACATTTTGCATTTTTCATTAATTTTAAATAGCTTAAATTGACTAAAAAATGATAAACGAATTATGTCTGACATGAAAGTCGTGTGACAAAGCTTGCCCGGCGATACTCCATATGTACCCTGTGGCCTACAGTCGATACATAAGTTATATGTGCAGGTTTTTCACATGTGCAGAAAATGGCTAAGCGAAGTGCATTTGCCGAGGAGTAACACAGGGAATACTATGGATTTGTTCGTTTCCATATGGCGTTAACAGAAATATAAAATCAACCTAGAAGTTTGATTTTTTTTCAGTATGAGCGATTTCAAATTTGGTCTCAGTAGAAAGATTCCATAAAGAAACTCCATTTTTCTTTTTCATACATTGTAGTAAGATTAATCGTAATCGAGACACCGGAAGTTTTGATTGCACTCTAAAAATGTTGATCTCGATAACAACATAATTATGAAATACATTTGTGTTACCCTAGCATTACTCCGGACATAGGCAACGTGTAAATATTTCGAGTTACTGCTCTAGTTCTTGTTTAAGTAGGTCATGAAAAATCAAAACGAATGTTCGGTTCAGCCACTCTACAGGTAAGCAAGTTCAACTCTCGGTTTTATTAAAAAAGCTTTTTTTTTTCTACTTGGTATACGTTACGGATTACTTTCGTACCACGCACATAGTGGTGGCCAGAAAAGCCAACTGGATAGCATAACAAATTTACGTATATGCGAAGTACGTCGAGCCAATGTTCTGCTCTTTACGCGTCTTACGCACTGTAAGGATGTGACCGAATATTGTCAAAATAAGCTAGTTATTTTATTTAATAAACAACACTTTCCAAACTAAAACTGTGCAATGCTGTACTACGCATAAAGTCTGTATCGAGAAAAACGCAAATTAGGTATCTGGCTTGAGCCCCTCAGCCTGTGCTTTGTACAAGCTGCATGCGGTAGTTACCCAGAGCTGGCGTACACATAATGTGTAAACCCGTAATAAGCGATATCCGTAATTTGACTGCATGAAAACAACACCAAAAGCTGAAATAAAAACACGTTTTTTGCTAATATTTTAATTGAATGCACACACACACACAGAAACACACTCAAACACCCAAAAGCGCTCGAACTTTATTTACGAATGAAACTGAGAGATGTACATGGCTTAATTGGTAGCCTCACATTATCGTCTCTCGGGCGGAAATAAATGGTTCAATTTGACGTGCGGGACATATTGCGATTGCTTCTAACTTTCATTGTCGAATTAGTTGGACAGAGTGCTTCAGACTTCAGACGCGAATCAACTATGCAAGCCGACGCCAGCGAACTTTTGCTCAACGTCTGGTAGAAGCGCCCGCTTCGTTTCCAGACGACCTCCAAGTGGCAAGTTTTCCTATCATTGTCACATTTTACATCTTTTTGGTATCATCTGTCATTTGCTGTTTGTATCAATCTGAGCCATATCAGTCTAAGTGCGATATTCTTTTCCGTTTAGGCGCGAGCGCAGTATAAAAACTCCGCTGGATAAATCATTTTTCCGACGAATAAGTAGCTCGCAAGTTATACCGGAAAGTTAGGCATTGATCTAGTTAACTGTGTGTGGTAACGTGTCTTAAGCAAAAACACGGGTTCATTATATATTCTTGTTTAGAGCTAGAGAAAATATGGTTTTATCTTTCTCTTATAACTTCGACTTTCAGTCTTCACCAGTGCGATCTGTAGAAGAAGGTCGTCATTGAGATTTGTTTCAGATAGTTCAACAATATAATTATTTCTAATATATAGTTTAATTATTTAAGCTATAATAAAGGTCCAACAATTAGTAGCGTGCTTCTATCGTCAGGTCTATGCAAAGCGCGTCTACCAATAAGCTAGTAATATATAACCATTTTTCATGTATTCGCTAAACTACCTTTTGCTAAACATTACTTTGTCTTCCGTGTCTTTCTCGTGTTCGGTGCTTTTTTATAGATAGATTATTACGTGTTACGTATTATAAAAAAAACTGACAGGTCTGATATTTCGATAAAATCGTAAGTTACAAGTAACATTTAAGAGATCAATCGAGAGAAACCAGTTCTACTTCAGTGCTTCGCTTCGGCAAAACTACACCAGCTTGGCTAGTTTTTGTTTTAATTCTATAAATGTCCTGATATTATTATTCTGAATATGAAGTAACATATGAAATGAAAACGACGTAACACTCGAAACATATTCATATTGTTATTATGCACTTTTTTTCATTGAGAAGCTCACTCAGCTATTATTATTGGTAAAAAAGAATGTACCGTTAGTAGCGAAAGGGACGTAAAGTCTCTATAAAATAATTCCCTATGGTTTTTTTCTAATATTACGATTGTTAACTTTTTTTCGCAGCTGTAGTGGAAAGTCACATTTATTATTTACTCAGTATATTAATGCTTCCTGCCTAATACGAATTCACGGTTTGTGCCTGTCACTGAAAATAGTACTTTGGCGTAATGAAAATTATTTTTTTCAGTATCCAAAAAAATGTTAAAAAAAATGCCCGATTTTCCTATCTATTATAATCGGTGGTGCCTTTATTCAGCCCTGTCTTACTGTATATGGGCGCGGCATTGCGATCATGACATGAAAAATGGCTGGAGTTAAAAAGCTATGGACAAAGAATTCTAGCTATGACAAATACCGGCTATCGTATAAATACCATAGAATATCTTTACGAGTAGCTATGAAATAATACAACTCGTGTTTTACAGATAAATATTCGAATTCTGTGCAACTATTCAAGTCATCGATTTAGTCACATTCCAATAACGCTCGTGCGGACTTCGAGATATTTTCTTTTATTTTCTTTCGTGTCATATATATATATATATATATATATATATATATATATATATACACTGCCTAACTAAATTATATTCGTCTAGAATGGGCTGGTGCTTTGGTCTACTTTTGTAACTACAATTTTTTTATGAAGACTAAATCAAACGCTTCCTCCGCTTCTTTACGACAAACATGATTGATTGACTGACTCAAGATATTTATTGAATCGATCTTTTTGCTTTCAGCCCAGGCGAGCTATAAGCAAATTCACAAATTGGTGAGCTTATACACCAACATTTTTTAGCTTCAAAAACGAACGGATCTACTGTAAATGTTTGTATACTAAAAACCACGGGTTGCTTCATCAAGGAGCGATGTGCTGAACTATCGCCACGAGTTCGGCTTTTAGATAATCACACATGGACGGCGCGTCTGTCACGATGCAATTAAGCACCACGGCGGGATATAGCTTAAGGTCCAATAAGGTCTCGTCACACGACATTAAAGCATTCGCGCCATTTTTAAGCACGATATGGGAGTTGGCCAACGAATCGAGTAGGCACTCCCTAAGAAACTTGATCACTTCAGACAGCTTGTCGGCGACCTCAAAAGTACCCTGCAGAATGAGACCGTTCGGTAGACGGATTCGGATACAGGTATACTTATACGACAAACTCTCACGTCTGGCATCCCGATCGCGCATAGCTTTTGTCCGTAGTTGGGTTCTAAGTTCAACGTCTCTAGTTCTTGCAGCCTGTTCGCGTGCCAACTCATCCGGTGTCAACGAAAAGAAGTCATCCGAAACAGACAAGCCCTCCGAGGTATTTGAGGGTTTCAAGACTCGTAGATTTCGATCCAGCACAATCTCCATCGGCTCCGCACTAACAAGGGCATCCCGTAACGCCGGTAAAAGGTCAAGGTCTGCCGATTCTTTAAGAATGAGGTAGTCTTCGCCATCATCAAGCGTCTGCTTAACAAACCCAGCTGCTTGAAGAAATTCCATTGCTCCAGCAATTGGTCTTACAGCTTCCATAAGTATTTTATTAGCAAACTTGATCTTACGGAACTTGACGTTGTCCGGGTGTTCAATAATATTACCCAGAATTAAGCAGAGTTTTTCAATACAATGCTGAACCTTAGCTTCTCCCTTGTCATCATTGCAGGTAACGATTATGAGGGCAGCTGAGAGTCCTCGCTCCTCTTCTAGCTGTTCCATGAGGAACTTCTTCATTTCGTCACGAAGTTCCTTCTTCGGCAATGCCTAAAAAAACGACATGTTCGATTAGTTATTTTGAATATGTAGTGTAACCGTGTATTGAACGCGTTTTTTATAATATAATGCGTAATTATTTTTCCAATGCTGAGCACTTATTGCGTCAGCCATCAGATGACACTGTTGCTAGCCTCTTCACGATTTCTCTCGATCAACCATGATTTACACGATCAATATCATCAAAGCACTACATAATTCGAAATAAATTATACGCAGTATATATATATATATATATATATATAAGCCCTCTTTTTGACAATGATTGCATGACCACATACCTGTGACCCTATCATAGGACAACGAAAGAGTAAACCTTCAGATCCATCTTTTGTCAGCTGGGGAGGCACCTCCTTATGCTGATGCAACACTTGTTGCCTTAGCTGTTCGTTTTTCGCAGCGGTTTCGGATTGTTGTTGCTTTTCGAGCTCAAGTTCTTTAAGAGCTTGAGCGCGAATTGCCGACAGCGAGAAGTTTACATCTTTTTGTGCATTTAGCCTAGCGAGGGCTGCAGCCCCAGCGCGGGCAGCCGTTTCAGAAACTTGGGCATTTAGCTCAGAAGATACACTGCCATGGATGTTGGATCCTGAGGCCGCGGAGACACCGCCTGTTCTTGATCCGGAACCCTACCGATGAGAAAAACAAACGTTAGCTTTACAGATCTTCAAATAACATCCAATGTAAAATATGCTAGCTGATGTAAGGTACTAACGCGTTGATATAAATGGTCAATGGCATATGAACGCAAAGCATATCAACGTCGATTTAGTTTTCTGTTAGAAAGGTTAGTTCCCGTAATTGGAAGTCATAAGCACATAAGTTGCACTATCATAGAAAACTGTTGACAACGACGGTCTTATCTCGAAACGGCTCAAGCGATGAGCCTCGTTTCGACAGATCAGCGAATTTGCTTCCGAGAATTCCCTTCATGTTACTAATAACAACGTATTACACAAAGGCTTAATGTACATGCAAAAATTGCCATTGTTTTATGTTATAGAAAAAAAAAAATGCAGTAAGGCCTAGATTTGTTTTTGTAGTCAAGACATTTTAACGAACTGAGGCGTAACAATGAGAACTGAACACAGCTAAAACAGATACGCTACTGCTTAAAAAAGCTAGCTATCTACTCACCGATACCGAAGATTCCTCTGAAAGCTTATGGCCAGGTCCAGCTTTTCTGAATTGTTTTTCAATTTTCTTCTTTTGGAAAAACTTGCGAATTTTATCTGCCATTGCGACCGGGAAGTCTATAGCCTCTTAATTGTACACACTCCCAATTCTCAACGCCACCTCTTCGCCACGAAAAAGTCCGGTAGATTTAGAATAAAATCAACATACATATGTGAATATATAAACACGGTATTGTGGCTGATTACTACGAAATCGCTTAGCGATCGTTTGCGTCCGCTTTACAAATTCGACTCTTTCACCCTGGACAACATTCTTGCGGTGAATTCATATTTTCCTCACGACGACAACAATAATACAGCCGCAGACAGCACCGCTGACGCCAGTATTATTCGCGTATACGGCAAGACGCTTCCGTCCCAAGGAACAAATACACACGTCTTCAAACGACGGCAGCGTTCTCTCTTACTGCGAATGTTTTGCAGTACAAATGAGACAAGCCCCGTCTATCACTAGCAAATAGCAGGGACGTTCTGACGCAGTCAACGAAAGAGTAGAGATAGACAGTGTGCGCGACAGACAACACGACAAAAGAGTCAACCCAATAGAATAGTCACGAGTTAAGGACGCTCTTCGTTGAGCTACAGACGAACGTACCGGTGGCCAGCTGTACTAGGCACAGCAATCTTCACATCAGTAGTTCCACTGAAATTATGTCAACAACAAGTCTCCGCACGCAAAATAATGCGCTGTCATACTGGCTAGCTTTGAACAATGAATCCGGGCGCGACTTGCGTCTTCGAACGTAGCTGCAACGACAGCATCAGGAATAGTAGTTGTCTGCGTTGTGTCACATGCCACACTGCTTCATTTAATTGTCGTCTTCAGTTCCCTCCTTTATTTCTTCCCGAGCGAAGCTACTGTATAGTGTACACAGCAGCGTATGCTGTAGAGGCGACGACCAGCTGCTGGCAGCTGTTGGCTTGATACAAGGATTCTATCGCGAAACGGCCGCTGCTTCGTGAGCCTCCTCGTATAGCGGAAGGCTTCATACGGACAGAGAGACAGACAGGCAGACGGACGGACGGAATTAAACGCAAACATTCACGGCGATACAGACACCCGTTGAACATGGTTAATTCGCAAAACCATGCTGGATAAGCGCAAAATATGAGCCCTCTTTGATTACGGACATATCTCATAAAACAGTAATTTTCTATTATCCGAATGTACAGGCGATCACAGCGATAGTCGCAGTAGCACAGTAGACTGGGTCGCAACGCTATTACTAATATTAGTGTTAAGAAAAACACTTGAGCTATACCTACATAAATCTGCGATGGTGGCACTGTACGTGAGATGATTTCGAAATTCTGCCGGCGATCGTAAGAAGCGCGGCAGCTTCACCCAGGTAAACAGTAACGAGGTATAGCAAACAACGCAATATATAAAATGACAGTTCACGACTCCGCTATACTCGTTTGCATCTTCACCTGAATCTTTGAAGCTATAGGGACAAGAAATGATGTGCGCAATTTTAGTCTGTTTCTGTGTATTGTACTGATCTTTGTGCTTAATGACTATAGTGATTTTTGACCATGCTTAACGAACTAATCCACGCCTATTGTCACATAACTAAACAATTTGTCATTCTTGTAACAACCTCATACTATACGTCTTTATTCGATATAAAGTGCACCTCGCTACCCCCGTTTCCGTGCGTTGGCAGTGAGGCCAACTCTGCTGGTTATACAGAGCCACTTCTTATATCGTGCGTTTATGCTAGCACATGTTGTGCGGACTAATTGCCAGTACTCTGACCTAATACTCCGAAACTAAAGTAAACACCGATTTGGTAGCAGCCGGCATCGTGGCTTGCGCTACCATTCTGACATGTATATAGGATCGAAACTATTGCCAGTTTGATAAATTTTTGTTTTAAACGATTATGCATTTAGCCTTAGAAAATACACGACCAACTAGAAGATCACCTGACAAGAAGCGGTTCTCATATAAATAGGTAAAATAATCGAGCACTGGCAGCTGTTGGTAGCAAATATGATATCAATAGCGCTGCGAAAATTGAACAAGCTCAATAAACTTGCAGTTTCCAGAATAATACTGATCACATGCGCACGAAATAATATTGTTGTTCCATTAGGCCGTCAAGGTTGAAGGAACTTACCTGCCTCTGACATAATTAACTGATGATACAATTTTCTTATTATTGAAGTCCGATAGCAAAAGGGAACGGCTGAATGAAGGTATCTCTCTTACGAAAACTGCGACAATATATACTCAAATCCGCGCATAGAAGCCTCGCTGCGTAAAGAAGCATTTGCGGATTGCTAGCGTATATTGCCTTTGACATAACTTGAAACGCCTAATTGGAAAGAAACCCAACTGAGTGACCTGTACCTAAAATCATATGCAAGACAACGTCAGTTCTATCTGTAATAAATGGCTAATGTTGAATACCATAATTGTCTTACCGGTTCGGCTATTTTTTGAATGTTGCCCTATGTATGTATGTACATAGTCTACAGCAAATGACAGGTAGTTGACTAAGAAAGCCTTGAGTTAGTACAAAGTTGTATCACCCGACAAGGTAGTTCATCTTTTATCACATTTAGTAACCAATGGGAAACAGCATTAGCCAAATGCCACGTTTTTCAAGTAGCATTTGCATATAGAATACATATATTCTAGATTCTAGACCATCGACATGATAAAATATTGAAAGGAAAACGCATAATGCAATTTTTCATTTATAACGTAAGCAAAAAGTTGCCAGTTTCTCAGATATTACTCTAGAACCCTAATCAATAAGCTGAATATACTTAGATTCGATTTGAAATGTTTGTCCATCTTGAGTCTTACGTTTTGGTTGACTCGAAATTTTTCAAAAGGCTTGAGCAATACTCTCACATACGAACACTAAATGTTTCAAATTTTGTGTTCAGTTCGGCCGTTAGACATTCCATCCGACCAACACATTAAGCGGATACTCCAAGGATAGTCCTGTTTCGTGTAGGTCCAGTGAGGACTACGTCCGGCCAGTTGGTCTTAGATCTGCCGATATCATTATCCGTTAATTTCCATTCATCGCTTAATCGCAGTTTGCAAGTAATCAGGCTTAGTTTACTCAAAATTGATAACTTATCTCGATGTAACGCGCCAATATCGTTTCTTCTGTATTCCCAAGTGAGGCTTCTCTGTCCGACTGTGAGCACTCAGCTGTTTAGAAGCGGCGCGCGTTGCCTGTTCGTTCGTTGATGATGAACGCAGCGTTCTGTAAACGTTGAGCACAGCTGGCTTCTGTTGTCGATTTAATGATATATTACTCTGTGAGAACGATGTAATTAAAAAACATAATTGTTCGTTTTGTATATGTGTATATAGAATGTGTGGACTAACTATATAGATGCGTAAAGGATTTCCCAGTTGTCCGTGAAAAAATCCGCACTATCAGAATTGATAAAAAATTACCTCAGTGAGGTGTCATCAAAACGTATTTTCTTTATGAAATATACTTTTCATGCTATAAAACGTTTGCCGACTGAATACGACAGCATATGATTGATGAAACGTGCAAAACACCATAACAGGATCTGCAGATTCGTCAGTGTTTCCTCAGTGAGCAAATCTAACGAGGTCAGAAGATCAAAAGGCCTCAAAGAACATATGCATTAGGTAGACTTTGCACAACAGCCCGCTTAAACCCGATTTTTGTGGCTTCTAAGCAAGACGAGCCTCAGCGTTGGTATACGTAGCAGCTCATCTTGAGAACCCAGTTGTTATAAGAGGACGCTGACTTTTGGATTATTTATTAAAGTGCACATTTATATCATCGTTTTTTTTGGTTTACACTAACCTAATTGTTCACTTATGCGCATTTGTGTAACTAAATATTTATGAGAAGTCCTCACTTGGATATTCTAAGCTTCTTTTTGTGAGCATATTGTGAGAGCGCCTGAATGAATTGTGGTATTCACTTTACGATGATAACGACATGATGACATAATGTAAAGGATTAAGCCCTAACCGGATACAACAAACTTAACAAAAATAAATTATAAAAGCCACAAAAGTCGACCTGAGTTTGTCTGATTACAAAAAATAATTGCTCTAGAAATATGAACTAATTTCTGGAATAGTAGAAAAAAAACACAGTTTGCAGTAACAAAAGATCTAATGCATCTTTAAGTATATAAGTGCGAAATTTGTTTTTTCGACCTCGTCGAACAGCTACATATCGAGTAATTATTATTTACGCAAAAAAAAAGCTGTACCCCTTCAGTATCCAAGGTCACGCAGTAGGATTATTGATAAGTCTGTCTCTACACGATAATTACTCAATATGAGGTTGCATGATAAATTAAAGATATTCTAGGTTAAGTTGGTCATACCGAGCCAACAACTGAACTTCAGTTTAGCGTGCGCTAAGTGATGTTTCTAGTGGGCAGCCTTTGCTAAAACAAAACAAGAGTACTCATTATCGAAGTTTTGGGAGTACGGATTTTGCAAGCTAATTCAGCTATTGAAAAAAACAGCAATTACTAATTATTACAGTAAAACAGTTGACATTTGAATAAAAGTGTGCTATACTTATCTTCGTCTGCCGTCTTTCAGGTGTCCGCGTCAATCTCGTTTATTATCCACTGGACCTGTTTTCATTTGTTATAGGCAAAATGTAGTTTAACTATTATCGATAAATACAGGCTTATTTAATAGATTTCTGTCTGGTTTGACACAATTTCCATAGAAGTACTTTAGGGCATTCTACACAATACGTGATTACTCACTCAGACATCACTTAAGGATAATAATAATAATAATAATAACAACAACAATCGATAACGATCGGCTATCAACGAAGACAGGCTTCCAACCTGAATCTGACAGAAAACTAAACAAGGCCTGCAGTTATTTTACCTAGGACTCAGAAACCACATTCATGTGAAAAGCTTCTGCGTAAGATCAAAGAGCGAGTCGCTTAGCATCGCACTGCGTGTCATTGATTATATCTATATATATGAATATGTACAGTCGCACGTAGGCAAATGTGAAAGCTTTTCCTTCCCCATCCTCGCCATTTTGTCATACAGCATGTCCCACAAGAAGCGCTTCCAGGTCATTGCTGGAAACTGCGGTCACTACAATTGCAATTGTCGTCCGCACACGAACCAACCGGCTAGCGCAATTCTTCCAACATTAACGAGCACCCACCATGGTGTCTACGCCATACACAACATGATGCCACCAGTTCAAGTTCAAGCTAACAATTTGCCAACGCATAGCGGCTGTCGGGTGCCACAAGGTGCCATGGTGCCATTTAGTGTAGGGATGCGCCCAGCCTCCGGCACCAACTCGGATCCCAGTCAAACGCAGCTGTCTCAGACGTCTATCCTCAATCCGCCTCTATCCAGATCATTTGGCTGTGCAGGTTCGAGTACAAACAGCCGCGGTGGGCTTTACAATTCATTCGTGGGTTACAACAGCATGCGTCGCGTCGCGCAGCCGTTGGTCTGTAGCCAGGACTACCCGATGGTACGTAACAACAGCATTAGTAGCAGCCTTGGAATATACCAGAAATCCCATGACAACAGAGAAGCGGCAAATAGCATGGGAGGACCACCGTTACCGCAGTGCCAAGGGTATCATAACAAGTTGGCGAACACCGCTGAAAATAGGAGGAGTCCACAGTCGCGGCCTGTGCTCATCCTATGGGACGTGGAGAACGTACAAGTGCCCAGAGACGTGCCTGTTACTCATGCTGTGTACGCGGTTCGAACGTACGTCCAACATGCTCTTAACGGCAACTCGTGGTTTGAAACGGATTTCGCCGTCGCTTGTGATGTGTTTCGTCACCCCACCAAGCGAGTGGCAGAAATGAATGATGCTCAGGTGAGGATGAAAGGAAACAAGGTTGTTAATGAAATATAGGTTATATACGGCGCCGAGGATGAGAAGATAAAAGTAGGCACTTTTAGAAACAGGGGGCTAGCAATGATTGAGACAACAGTAGCAGTACACTGAAAAAACGTGGACGTACAGGTGAAACGGAAACAGAAGGAAACATGTTTGTACTTATGATTATCATTGTTATTGGGTGCAGTTACTATTTTAGAATGATGGTGTCATAGCACCGACCGTTTAGTCGATTAACTGTCCACACTGGGCACCTTCACTATTCATTGACGTTTCCCGGCAGTTTTTAATGCTTCTGGGGTTATATTTAAGCATAATATAGGCCCCAGGGATAACTATTTAAACTATTTAAATAATAACTATTTAAAGTAAAACCGTCCAATAATTAAGTTGGGATGGCTAAATGATAACGAGCCAACACCGCCCACAGAAGAAGATTTTTTAATCTGTATTGTAACTGAGTTGACAATTGTGTGCTTTAGCTTGATTAAGTCCTGGATTTTTTTTGTAATTTTAATGAAAAGAACACCACCGAAACTACTAATAACAATTCTTTATACTTTTCCTAGTATGATAGCTACCAATAGTTATTAATGCATAGCTGTTAGTAAGATTATGTACTCAACTGGTTCCTCAAAGCACAACAAACCAATTGTGAAAATCCTAAACCTTAAATTATATTTAAATTTTTGCTTATAGATAACTGTGATCCATGTCAACTCGATGTCAAAAAATGCTGCTGATATGAAGCTGAAGTCCTATATGCATAAGTTTGCGACAATGTTTAGGTAAGGAGGCTTGGAGCCAATTGAAAATAGTACTTTAGACTATGATGTTTAATTTTACGCTTTACTATTGTAAACCGAAATTATATTCGAATCTGTCGACGTTCTGGACCGGAAATGCTATACCCAAACGTTTGCTTTGAATCGTGTTGATTCTTTGACAATGCCAGATATTCACTTACGTTTACTAAAATCAATACAGCGTAGAATGTCCGCTGATTTGTACAAGAAGTATTTCTTCAATCCAATCACAATTAGGGCCAAAAGTTCCTAAGGAAGTGTTGTTCTTGTATGGGCCGTAGAAGGTCCTTCTGAATTCAGAATGCCGTACACAATATACTATAATATTAACTGGGGAATGATTATACTCTGAAATGTTTAATATATCTGCGCTACTATGTGCGATACTGTGAAACCGGCAGTCAGCAGTCGGCGTGCGTTGTACTTATCTCAGGAGACGTCAACTTCGCGCCCGAACTTCACCTTGCCCGTCATCATGCCAAATTACAGGTAGGCTAAGGAGCAAAATAAGTGTAGCCCTAATATTTCTGTTAGAAGTACAGTAGTTCTATTGTATCAGTCCTTGACCAGTATTGAAGCTATGTGGTTCGACGAACTTATTTCGTTACTTTGAGCATGCTTTGTTTGACTATTGCGAGCTATTTTCTACCATGTACAGAACTTGTCAATATAAACAATTGGATTGACGGAATAAATATGTTGATCTTTCCTATGGTAACTTTGCACGTCCGCACGTTGTAGCTTCGTAGCAATACCAATCGTGAAGTAGGGTGAAATAACTCGAAACGTATTTAGCAGCATTTCGATCTAGCTTTTGAAGTTCAGTCTTCATTTTTGCGTAGAGCTTCATAAAGAAACAGCCACAACATTTAAGTCCTATGTTGTTTTTGCTACATTGCAATTTTGACAGATACTTCTACTGCATAATCATATGACACCATACGCATTACGTGAGATTGCTCATTACGCCGACGACTTCTATCGAGTCGTTATGAGCACTCCGAATTTAGAGGGCCCGGCCAGTGTTTGGACTGATGGCGTCTGTCTACCACAGCAGCAACAGCGACCGCTTGCCAAACAGTTGACACATATTGTGGTAGCAAACTTACCTGAAGATGTCGAAACGGTACTATATGCTTGACAACAAATACATATAGCCTGATTCAGCTTTGTTCGTTGTATCTTTGAAAGCTAATAATGTGTATATGGACCTGGAATTTCTGCGCAGTCGTAAAACTTTATAGATCTGATCAGATTCGGGCTGAGGCACGACGTGCTCTACTTAACTGTCAGCCGCTATAGGAAACTTAACCACGTTATATCTTATTATATAATAAAATATGAACACATAATCAATAAAAAATGCTCCTATAAAAAGTATTTATAAGAACATTCATAACGTCTCCGATCCAGTCCCTTAACGTATATTAGTCAACTGACAAGGCTTTTTTGTGCATGTTTAGAATAAGATTTCAAAGCGCCTATTAAAACTGACGGAGAACACCGGTGGTCGAGTTGTCAACGTGCGAGGGTCTCTTGCCCTCATGAAGTTTCCTTCATCGCAAAATGCGACAAGGTCAGTGAATATGAAGTTGTATGAAGTGTGGAAAAAAATTGTAAAAAAATATTTAAATTTCCAAAGTTGTCAGTTTCAAGTGTCGTTTTTTCCATCTCGACAAAAGCTTTATAGTATTGTAAACAAACGACTAATGTTCACAATACGGTAAATATAAACAGAGATAACCATTATCAAACATTCCTACTTAATTAAAATTACTTAGATAAAAACGAGCTTTAGTCCGAATAGGATCATATGGAACAAAGGTGATTTTGAATCTCCCCTGGACAAGAAAAATTAGAGCTAGTAATACCATCTTGAGAAGACATTACAAAACAGATACGCTGGGCTTGCTGGCGAAAATTATCCTTACACAATTCTCTACAAGTCTTACACCGTCAGTATGAATTAATTTAGGTGTTTAATGTTTGTATTGAAGAGGGGTTTTACATGCGTTATCTAAAATAATTAAATATAAACAATCAAATAATAAGAACATTCAATTAAGAGTGCCGGAGTGACTTTTCCTACGTGCAATACGTAAAAAGTAATATACTCCACCAAACATGCTGGATATATACGATTTATTTAACCACACATTCTTCCATCTTTCGAGCGTTGCTTCCAGTAATTTTAAGTGTTGTTTTGCAGGGCACTGGCGAGAATTACCGAGCGAGATGTCTGCGGACACCGCGTGCTCGCCTATTTTGTCGACGGTCCCGGTTCCCGCAGCAAGTCGATATCGGGTCGTCCTAACACTGAGTCGTCTAAATCAGTTAGTACTTTCACAAATCGTGAATCTCACTCCAGCGGAGAGCCTACCCATAGCAATACGTCAAGCGATTCTGCGGATACTCCCTGCGCGCTCGATAGAAGTCATGAAGCTCCTGGCGACTCGCGCAGCCTACGGATATCTCCACGCGCCGACCATTGTTTGCGCGAAAGCCAGTTAAACTCAGGAGCTTTCGACTCAGCATGCACGATTGAACCGTTAGACGGGCAAGCAGATAGCTCTCCGTGCGGAACAAGTTCAAGCGGCACCCGTGACGACGACGATGATGATGACGACGACGACAGTAGCTCACATTGTAGCTCACAGCTGTGCCCTAGTATTGAGAACCTTCATGAAAGGGTAGAAGCCCCTTACACTTATTCCCAGAATACGAATATGGAGGATGCCCGTGGACGGTCGCTTTTGAGCTTCCTTTTGCCCGGTTCGATTGAAAAGGACCACCCAAACTCATACAGCTCTGCTATTTCTCTCAACGGCATTGGCCTTTATTCAGAGAACGTCCTCAGGGAGGGTGCCTCTTGTACATCATGTACATGCGAAAAAAATGATCTCTCTAGTAAAACAAAAGGGGAAATAAACCCTGAAAGTCCCGACATCGCGCAACCGCCCAAACCCAGGCACTCGTCTTGTATCATCCACCATGGTCGCTTACTTAGCGGTTTAGACGCTTCTGCAGAAAGGCAAAGCTGTATAAGCCACTTCGACAACTGCGAAGCATCCAAATACAATGATATGCTTGGCCATGTAAGTAGCATAACGTAGCGTAAGTTTTTCTTTGTAATTCGTAAAACATGCGTTTAATTAAAAAATATAGTCTACTTGTTTACTTTTATAAAATAAACAAGGATATAGAGTCCACCTTTATAGAACATATAACCTGTTGCACTCTTAATATTTAGACTGCGCAGTAACGAAATATTAATTAGAACTTCGCGTTTTAGTCGTGAGATTCGTGGTCATATACTTGACAGATTCCAAATTTAATAACAATTCTTAGATGAACAACTAAGCAGCTTCCGTTAAGAGGTAAACTGGTAATTAATATAGCGGCCGGGATCATCTATATTTACAGGATCTCCTTAAATTCGAGCATGAATATGGAAGGCGCCACGCATCGGGTGCTACTTTTGCCTTTGGCCAAACGGACGCAGATGACGGATGTGCGGCCTGTACGGGAACGTCCCGGTATGCAGGCAGTACGCAATTAGACAAGAAGGCGGGAGATACGCGCAGAAACTGTTTGTCTGCAGGGCATCGCGGGTCTTCCAGACGGACCTGCCTTTATGGATTGCACCATACGCGTCTGGAGAAAACGTAAGGCCATATAATCCACACAATCGAAAAGAAACCTTTTTGAAGGGTGTGAAATGACTTCTTTCTCAACAAACAGTGTCTATCGGGAACGGAGATTTGATAATCACTTCTAAATAAGAGTCACTTGAAAGATGCATACACAATGCACAAGAAAGAAGGTCTTTGTTCGAGAATATTACGGTTTTAATAAAGAATTGCGGTGTCAGTAGGCTCATTTTACATTTTGTACGCTGCCTGAACAAAAGAAAATGTCCTATTTCATAGTAGGACATTCGATAAAAATGACGGCAAATACGCAAAAAAAATGGCTCTGCCAAAATTCTTCTTGCCACTTCTTTTTTTATCTATTTTATCTTATATTTATTGTAGTTTTATATATATCTTTTATAGTTTTTTTGTTATCTATTATACCAAAGATAACCAGACCAAAGCATAAAGCCATGACAAAAAAATTGTTGAGTTTTTATTCTGATGAAACTGCTTGCATTGCAACGGGTCAAATCAGCAACGATCAAAATGAAGTAATTTGTTATTCTTCATAAAATACACAATCGCAAATTAATATTTACGTAGACTAGACTTTAAATAGGTTGATGCGGCACTTGCCACTGCGAAATCATTATTTCTCGATAAAAATTTAAAAGACTACTGTATAACAGCGTGTATATATATTTCTATTCAATTTCGTGTTTGCGAATTACAGTATCATAATGCTGGCTTACGTCGTTTATAAAATACTTAACAAACACCAGCTGCTATCTTCAAGCCTGTTAGGTAAGTTCCGTCTAAGCGTCACGATATCAATAATGAAAAGTCCAAACTGTCAAGCCTGATATACATTAAGCATATGCAACCAATTTTTTATGCATGTTAGATAAACTTGTGCAAATAAAATTTACTAGTCATACTAAAATAAAATTTAAAGTCATACTATATAATACGATGTTTTTATATACTTTTGCTTTTTCTCCTATTGTAACCTTCCATAGCATGAGTTACCTGACGTTTTCCTTGTGATTGTAATATTCCTTCCGTCCTTATTGTGCTCATTATAGCAGACGGCAAATACTCTGATGCTGACGAACAAAAAGCAACGGTTTTGTCTTTGGACTATGATTCGTATATGGACTTACAATGTACAAGGTATATTCCCAGCGCTTATATTATAAGCGCTGGGAATATACCTTGAACTAATGGGGTTAAGTCATTGCTCAATCACGTTGGCGCTTCAGAAGTGTTTACATTAATAGGCTTTCCTGGTCTCGCCGAGGCCGGGTTCAGGTCTTGCATAAAGGTAAAGCAGGACTTGGTGAAGGTTTCTAGCGGTCTTGAACGAATGATTTATCTGGAACTTGTCATCGCACCCTGCCCATAAAGTCACTCCATCAGTAGAGAATTCGTTAAACATACATCCCCCAATAGAAATTGTCGATCACAAACATCCAAGCACTCTGTGCCACGCTGTGTTACTCTAGTATTTTAGTCCACGAAAACTTTTTCCTAATAGTACATTTCCAATATTCTTGATACCTTCCAATCAACGTTTTTCCAGTGTGCAGCTGGCAAAACGATTTTTAAAATTAACCACATCTAGTAGGTGCTTGTCAGTAGCACTGCCCGACGTTCTCAAAGCTCTTCCTATCGCAATCCGCATCGACTGTTTCCAGCTAAATTTATCGTCAATAATCTTTTCCTAGCATGAGGACTTTGGAAGCCTGCCTAGACATTATATGGATTATTAAGGTTGTATTCGTATAGAGCGGACTAAATCAGATCAGAAAAATATAATGGAGGGTTTTTTTCAAATTATCATGGACTTTCATCGTGAAAGTGAAATCCTTCATCATAAATTCACCGGCAAGCATCACCTATATAATATATAATTTTTTATTTTGTTTGCATATGTTTATCATAATTTGTAGCGCTATTAAATACTACTGTCATGACTCACAAATGCAGTTTGACCATATTTCACGCCCACGCTGACGAAGATTGTTGAATTAATTAGATATGCCCGAACCCTGGACCTTGCAGGAAATTGTACAGGAAATGGCGGAAATGCTTTTGGCGACTCAATCAGCCGATATGTACTATTCGGCCAAAGTGCTTACTGGGCTTGATACCACATGGCGGCGGGACTTCATCCAGCGCTGGATTTTGCAATTAGTGAATAATTCAGACAACACCAGGACAGTCGACCCAATTCGCGCTTTGGAAAGGTCAGTTACAAGACAAACTACTTCATATGCTCGTGTTGTCATCAAGCCCATTTCAAGTCAATTTAGCCTAAGATTAATTTATTCAGCTGAGAATTAAAATACTTCAAGGATGAACATTCCTTAAAGGTAGTATCAAAGGTTTAATATAGAGAATCATGTTTTGAGGCTAGCTTTAGTCTAATTGCACTTGTATTCATCCATAGGTGTCGTAGGCTACCCAAGACGATAGACGAATTTGAGGAAAAGACGACCGCGGAAAACAGGCAGAATTTCAGTCTGGGACAAGCGACCGCCCTCGGCGGACCCGACGTCGCGATTGTTCTTGCCTTTTTCATGGCAAGTCCAAAACCGGTGTGTAAAGATTACTAAGTTCGAGCAAGATGAATCTCGTTTGTGTTTTACTGGGAAATCCCCGAGAACTGGAAAAAAAAATCGAGACCTAGAATTTAATATAAACTGTAGTTCATTTAGACGACTAAAGCCTGTACACTTGTAAGCGCAGAGTTCCTATTCGTGGTGGAAATCTCTCAGATTACTCGGGATTATATGATCATCCCTGTGTTATTTCGTAATGATGTTAATGTGTGTGTCGGCTTGTGTTCATTTATTTCAGCTGTCTCTAAACGAATTGGAAACCCGGTTTTTGAAGTTGAGGGGTGCCACCCTACCGCTGTCGGCAGTTCACATCTTACATGAAATGGGAGCCATTCAAACCGTGCCTTTTGAAACGAGAAATCGTGGCACAGAAAATGCGTCCCCTAGATTCGATGTACAGGAGTTCTGCCGTATTGTACGCGACTTGATTCGACAGATGAATCATGACCCTGATGCTGTTTATTATTTAATCCTTGCAACTGGCAAAAATGCTTTACCTTGTCTACCGTACAGCTGCACGCGTAGACGCTCAATCGCTTGCCTCTTGGAAAAGTATGGGGTGAGCCAGTTTCCAGATCTTGATGCGGCCCACATGCTCGAAGACTTCGCAGCCTTTTTTGAGAAGTTGCAGTTAGCTAGGGACGATAAAGTGGCTTTGGCTGATTGCTACAATGGATATAGGCTTAGGGAATATGTTGTTTTTCCAAGACGAGTTCCCGATAAGGAAAACATAAACGGCACGAAGAGTTGTTCGGCCGAAGAGAACTGCAACCGAAAACATAAACATCTTTCTCAGACCGCGCTTCAAACCTCTGGAAATTCGGAGCAGCAGCGCCCAACGACAGCTACCAAAGGACGACGGGCGTTACGGCTAGCCGCCATTTTTCCGTATTAAATGATGAAGCTCGACGTACATATGTAGATACCGGATTGCAATGAAAAGCGCTGTGATTTCTCTTGGTCATTGTTTTCATTTATCCAAGAAATGTTTGCTTTGATAGACAGAAGTGACAAAAAACCATGGCATGAGTTTGTGCAAAAGAAATACGATTGATGCCATAGTGTTTCCGCACTGGAAAACACATAGACTTTGAAAAAGACAAGTAAACCTTCAATATATTTTGTTAGTTTTTTAGTATCTAAACATAACGATTTATGTGGTGCATGGTACGATCGTTTGTCCTTTAACACAATACTCAGCTGATAGTCGAATGAAAGAAGGTTCCTGCTTTGCGCATCATTCTAGGTGTTGAACTTCAATGGAACCAATGTAATCGACATACTTAATTTTCTACAACAAAGCTGTTTTCAGCAGAGCTACGGAGCTAGCTCAGCGGTGGTAGTAGATCTCTTTTTGTTTTATTTTTACTGCGTATCTGTGACATACGTTTGAAAATGTAACATTCAAGTGACTAATTTGTAGTACTGCAATTGGACCGCATGACCTAATTATGTAACATGTATTATTCACGTATAAAGGGACACAATACTTACCCTAGCTAACGACGAATGTCTTTTACAGCGACAGGGATATAAACAATTTGTCGTTCATCAAATATCTGTGTTTTATAACTGTCACATTATTTAATACATTCAGCAGTTTAGTAGATTTCGTTCTTAAGGCTGAATATGCCAAAAACGTGATAAAAAGACGTCTATGTTTCTGGAATTGTCTATTCGCAGAACATTCCACACCGTTACGCTGTTATGCATCATAAATATGCCTTGTGACATTTCCAAGACAAATAGCCTGCTGTAGTTTTAGCTTTGCTGACAGGCTACACAGGGTTGTTCCTGCCAGGACCCAGATATTCTGAAAAATGATACTTTTTTGGATGATATACATATTCTAGCTACTGATTCTTTTGATGTTCTGACTGCATAGAAGTATTATAGGTTGTCAATGGCCTTACTCGACGGGCAGAATATGAGTGTCTTTAACACTATATAAAAACAAAAAGAACTTCTATGTTCGTGCTGTAAAATATTACTAAAACCAGCCAAATGAATTGCGTTTCACCCATATGTGACGAATCTGTACCGATTCAATACAATGTCTATGGCGGTGGACGATCATGACATAATGACATAACTTACAGATTATATATGCCTTACTATTAAAAAAAAAAATAAGGACAAACAATCATGCAAACCCTACTTGTTTGCGAACTTGAATGTTCTTGTAGCCGCACATAACGTACTTCAAAAAACTATGTATGGGGTAGTACTTCCATGCCTCTACGGAATACAAATATATCCAATAACGTTTCTAGTGTCAGACGACGAAAAATTATATTGAATGTATTGTTTCGTCTAATCAAATGA